GGTCGGATATTCGGTAGCGGTGCTAGCAGCCGAGGTAGTGGAAGGAGCAAACTGCTTAGCAGTAGCATGCAGTCTGCGAGCGGCAGACATTGCCGCAGGGGTAGAGACAGAGCTCTGCGAGTTTAAACGCGTAATTGGGGTGGTAGTGGTGAGAGATCGAGCGGACGCTCTGGTGATTGCGGGCGTGCGGGGAGCGGAGCGGAGCGCGGGGAGGGTACAGGCGATAGACCGACGGGCGGCCATGATGGCAAGAAAAGGAGGATAAGTGGAAATGAATTATAGGAAGAGAGTAAGTGAGAAGAAGGAGAAAGAAAGAAGGGGAGTGTAGAAGAGTATATGAGGGGAAGTGGCAAGGTGGTGTATTGTTATATAAAGACCCGCCGATGGTTACCCCAGGCCCGACACGCTCTCATCGGGAGCAAGCCCGAGGTCAGCCGCGCACCGTCTACCGCCTTTCCCCATGTTCAGTTTGGACTCTTTGAGCAGGTCTTTGCGTCCGATAAGCTCCCTTCGGCGATTTGAACCAATCATAACCCGCGTAGTACCACCTTCAACCGCCGAGGCTGGCCGCAATCGCAGCAACATTCGCATAGTAGGCGGTTTAGGCATGGCATTCCGAGGGAAAATGCGGGTAACTGGGGGGGGGTACTCCCTTGCTCCACCTACTGTATACTGCAGATGTTATGAGCACCCCGAGAGCCAACAAACGTGCAAGACCAATTCATATTACCCAAAAGATTCTTTTACTTGCCACGTTCCAATGGCGCTGGTCCATTTCGGTACAATTATTGGCCCACACAGCCTTATTTAATCGCTAGTATTTCGGTGGCTACTTTTTTTTTTTAAGTTCATGTGTGTAGTGAAAGTATACCGGAATTCCATTCTGAAGTAGATATCCGACTAACCTAAGGAGTATTGCTACATTGACCAACAAGAAACAATAGGGAATCAAACGCGGAAAATAAAATAATATCAATGCTCAATGGAGTTGGAGTGCATTGAAGGCTTGCTTCTTTTCGTCTTTAGCCGCGCCTTTACTCCGCCGAAGAGCGGGTGTTGCGCTTGGTAGCACCGCTCTTGCCGGTGTCGGCAGAGGAGCTGGTAGCCTCGCTGGCCTTCTCCTTGCCAGTGCTGGCGGGCTTCTTGCCCTTGTCAGCGGGAGCCGGGCTGCTAGAGCCAATGGCGCCCACGATGATCAGGATGGAGGTCAGGAGCAGAGCAATCAGACCACCCGCAACCTCAGGGACGGTCTTGACGGCGTTGACGGGGTCTTCCTTAGCCAAGTTCACGAAGAAGTCGATCTTCTGGCGGATGAAGGTAACGGGGTCCTCCTGGAAGGTGACAGTGGTGCCGGTCTCGGTTGTGGGCTCATTCTTGGGCTTGGAAGCCTCCTCCTCAGCCTCCTCGATGGCAAACTTGACGTCAAAAGTCTCTTTGCGAAGAGCCTCAGCATCCTCGACGGAGTGACCAATGTAGACGTTGTCAAACAGGATGTCGTTCTGCATGGTCCAGATCTCGAAACCAATGGCGCCCATGGGCTCCAGGTTGGAGGGGGTCTTGTCCTCGAAAAAGGCAGGGTTGGCAATCTTGCGCGGGGCCCAGACACCCTTGTAGGCGGGGTTCTCGATGAGAGGAGCGGACCACTTGCCCTTGTACTCGGGGTTCTTCTTCAGAGGCTGGGTCCACTCGCCGCAGCCAGAGACATCAGCACACTTGGGATTAGGCACAGTGGGGGCGACCCAGTCTCCATCCTCCTCATCATCCCAGTCCTCGGGCTTCTCGGCCTCGGGGTCGGGGATGCTTGTGGGCTCATCCACAAGCCAGTCCTCGGGCTTCTCAGCCTCCTCGTCGACAACCTCAAAGGGAGCCTCCTCGTCCCAGTCCTCGGGCTTGGTGGCCTCGGGATCGGCAATCTGAACCTCATCGACCCAGTCGGCGGGCTTCTTGTCCTTGGGGTCATCAATCTCCTTCTCGGGGTTGACGGCAGGGCTGAAGTCCTCCAGGAGGCTGCCCTCCTTAACGGACTCGCCGTTGATGAGGATCTCGAAAGTCTGATCGGGCTTGACGATCAGGGTATAGAGGGAGGTGACCTTGTTGGTGCGGGCCACGGGGGGGAGTCTTCAGGTGCTTCTCCTCGTACTCGCCGGTCTTGGGGTTCTTGTGGCGGAAGATGAAGTGAACCTGGATAATGACAGATTGATTAATAGCTGCTCATGATGAAGACAGAAATTACGTTGCAGTCCGCAAACATACCTTGTTGGTGGCACCGCACTTGTCGGGACCGAACATGATCACATAGGGAGTACCGTTGGAGAACTCCTCCTGGTGCAGCTTCTTGTTCTCTTGGAGAAGCTTCAGGTAGGCACCACCGCAGACCAGAGAGTTCTGGGGCTTCACCTCATATTGAACCACCAGGGTCTTGCCCTTGTTGTCAATCTTCTTGGGGAACTTGGCGGAGATGGCGTGGTGAGCGGCAGCGTTCTTCACGACCAGACCCTTGTCACCATCGATACCCTTGAAGACGGTGGGCTCCTCGACAGACCACTCGCCGACGTAAGCCCAGTCCTCCTCCGACTTGGGGTCATCCTTCTTGGCGTGGGATGGTTGCCAACGCGACTGCCAGTCATCGGTGAACTGCTCCAGGAAGGGAGCCTTCAGAGAGGTAGGCTGAAAGAAAGTTAGAAAGGAAATGTGGAGACCAATTCGATAGAACATACCGTGAAGGTGGGCCGCTCAATGGCGGAGGTGGCATCAGCAGCAGCTTCGGCGTCCTCGGCATGGGCATAGCCCATGAGGGAAGCCGAGGAGACCAGAGCCGTGAAAGCGGCGTCGAAACGCATTATGGACAGACGGGGTAAAAGGGAAAAGAAGCGCACGGGACGGGGGAAGGGGTGGAATGGGGAGGAGAGGAGAAGCGGAGGTTATATATCCCAGTTGAAATGGCGAAGGTCCAGGTGGCCTCTTCAGCAGCTCCCAATCGGGACTAGCACTTGCTGCCCCCAGGTACGCCCTTCGATCGCTTTCTATGTACAGAGTAGATTCAATGAATATTGATTCTAAATAAGTGAAAACTTAGATTAATCTATGCATCGATACACTGAACAACATAAATTACCAATTATCAATTCCCAATTACCACTGGGAATTCCCCCATGAGCTACTCAAGTTCTGGTGTAATGTAATCGCGGAGCTGCAAATTCCCCGCCCGGCTAACATTTATTGGATTGCGCGATAGCACGCGGGTTACACTTTTCCTCTAGACCCTGGACACCCTCTCACCCGATCTTCCGCCCCAGCTTCCGCTATTTGATTGCCTCATATAGCTCCCATTTGCTTTTTTCGCCCTACTACACCACCCTCTGCCACACCCTTTGATCCCTCCCGAACCTGAGACATCCCCCTCCAGAGCTTACCATATACCCTCCAACCATGTGCGGCGCTGATCAGACCGTTGCACCCGCCGCCAACAACAATGACCACTTGGTCCAGTCATCCGACCCTGAGCACCCGGCCAACTTGATCCCGGATCTCTGCCGCAGATTCTACAATTGGGGCTGGGTCACTGGAACTGGTGGAGGTGTAAGTCTCTTCTGCTCAAGCCGCCAAGGCGGGGGTATCAAAAAGAAAAGAACAGCAAGAACCAGCCCCACTAACTCTCAATAGACTTCCATTCGTCATGGCGATCACATCTTCATTGCGCCATCTGGTGTCCAGAAGGAGCTCATGAAGTCCGAGAATATCTTCGTTCTTCAATGGCCAACCCCCAAGTACCCCGCCACTGAGCGCAACTATATCCGCAAACCTCTTAAGCTGAACCCATCTGCTTGCACGCCGCTGTTCCTCACTGCCTTTGAGCACGGTGCGGGCTGCTGCATCCATACTCACTCTCAATGGGCTGTTCTGGTGACTTTGTTGGTTGAGCGCGAGAAGGGCCCCGACGCTTGCTTTGAGATCAGCAACATCGAACAGATCAAGGGTATCCCCAAGGGCAAGGGTAAGGGAATGCACGGATATCACGACACCCTGAGCATCCCCATCATTGACAACACGGCATTCGAGGAGGACTTGACCAGCGGCCTGGAGGCTGCCATGAACAAATACCCCGACACCTACGCGGTGCTGGTGCGCAGACACGGAATGTGAGTGAAACCTATACTGAAAATCGGCTTTCTCCGATTCACCACCCCCATACACCGCTAATATCTGATTTGTAGTTATGTCTGGGGTGACAATGTTGCCAAGGCAAAGACTCAATGCGAGTCTCTTGACTATCTATTCCAGCTTGCCGTAGAGATGCACAAGCTTGGCTTGCCCTGGGTCAAATAGATCAGATGGAACTATCCTGTGGAATTTCCCCTGAAGAATTTATGAAAATAAAAAAAGATAATGTGAGATAGTATAGAGATGAGGTACGACGAGAAATGATGTGACGTATGAATTGTTTTCAAAGCCTTTAGATCGAATCTCCACTTGATATAGTATTTCTCATGTAGGATATGATGGTAGCTATTCCTACTATGAGTAGACAATACTACGTTATTTTATGCTAATCAAGCAAAGCAGCTCTATTTCTGAAATTTTAGCATGCCCCTACGTAACTAGCGATTATAACTAAATTGAACTTATTACCAGTACATAATATGACCTTAATAAGGTCTACCTGTACACTAAGCTGTTCTCATCTTCAGAGATCATTAAAATATTCATCAGTGTACACAAAAGTCTGAGTTGAATAAATGAGACCAACAGCACAAATTCTCTTGATCAATGGGAATTGGGAAGTGATGAGAGGGGAAAGCTGCCCCGGACAAGCTTGGGGGGGGGGTTGAAGATCCCGTGAGTGACTAAGTGCGCGGATCCTCCACCTCCAACTGCCAGCTTTCCACCTACGCACCCTTCCCTCCCAGTTTCCATTGAACATTGATACGTGACGTCTGATTTAACCATTCCGATACCCCATTTATTACTCTCCACGTTCTACTTGTACCAAGCCGGCTGCTATGGACCTTGATGCCGGTGACTCCCCATGGGGTGGTAGGCAGTCACGATGACAGCTCTGTTGGATTGCGCTCTAACCCGGACTACAGATGAGCCTTCGCGCTCTATAACCAGCCCGACTACCTCCAAGACCGATAAATCCGAGAGCTGTATGTATTTATCTAGACCATTCTTGCTTTCATGGGTCTCTCCGCTAACCTCCCGCCCGCTTCTTGCAGCTCCCGCCCCGGCCGCATCAATCAGCGGCGGCGAGGTCCGTACTCCGGGTCGTCGCGGCCCACGAGGAACACGCAAAATCAGCGCACAAGCGACTCGTCTAGAAGCTGTCGATGATACCGTTGACCCCCCTTGGCCCGCTAGGAGAAGCTCCGTCCGAGACCAGTGCCACACCCACCGATGAGGCTCCGGCTCCTCCCCAGAAAGAAACCATTGCTGGACGCAGCCCCCCGCCACCTACAACTTTTCCTCCAGCATTTGGCGGGACTGGCTTGGTAGAATCCGGTAACTTGGAAGAAGATGGTGCCGGGTTTCGAGGACCCCCGCCCGTACAACCTCCCTCCGAGGCAGAGGGACCGAAGCGCCAGACACAACCAAGCGTGAGCATTGAACAGGCAGCGAAGCCGACATTCGATATCAGCGTTGGGGACCCGCACAAGGTCGGGGATCTGACAAGTAGCCACATCGTTTATCAAGTTCGGACAAAGGTATGGAGACGCTCCTTTCCCCGCACTCGACATATGATTTACAGTAAAACTGATTGTTTCATAGACATCTTCAAAGGGATACCGCCAGCCCGAGTTCGCCGTCACACGCCGATACCGTGATTTCCTATGGCTTTATAACTCCTTGCACAACAGCAACCCCGGTGTAGTTGTTGCCCCCTCCACCCGAGAAACAAGCCGTGGGCCGATTTGATACCAACTTCGTCGAATCTCGCAGAGCTGCGCTGGAGCGGATGCTGAACAAGATTGCCGGTCACCCAATCCTTCAGCATGATTCTGATTTAAAGATTTTCCTCGAGAGTGAGGCCTTCAATGTCGATGTGAAGAACAAGGAGAACCGAGAGCCCGACCTTGGCCAGAGTAAGGGCATGTTTAGCTCTTTCGGAATTAACGTCGGAGGAGGAGGCAAATTTGTCGAACATGACGACGTGAGTAAATGCTATTTATCGACATGAGATGAAACCTACTGACTTGTGCTTAGTGGTTTCATGATCGTAAAATTTACCTGGACGCACTCGAGACTCAATTGAAAGCCCTGATGAAATCAATGGATACTGTGGTCATGCAACGAAAAGGCCTTGCCGAAGCCGCGGGCGACTTCTCGAGCTCACTTCATGCCCTCTCTGCTGTTGAGCTCTCTCCGGCCCTTTCCGCTCCTTTGGAAGGTCTGTCGGATCTTCAGCTACGAATTAGAGAACTATATGACCGCCAGGCTCAGCAGGACGTCCTGACACTTGGAATCACCATTGATGAGTATATTCGTCTCATCGGCAGTGTAAAGACTGCCTTCTCTCAAAGACAGAAGGCTTTCCACAGCTGGCATGCCGCCGAGTCGGATCTACAGAAGCGCAAGAATACACAGGATAAGCTTCTCCGACAGGGAAAGACGCAGCAGGATCGTTTGAACCAAATAAATGCCGATGTGGCTGATGCGGAGCGAAAGGTACACCAAACCCGATTGTTATTTGAAGATATGGGGCGCCTAATGCGCAATGAGCTGCAACGATTCGAGAAGGAGAAGGTGGAGGATTTCAAGTCTGGTGTAGAAACCTTCCTTGAGAGTGCCGTGGAGGCTCAAAAGGAGGTAAGTAATCGCACATTGCCCCTTGGCCTTCCTTTATACTAACACAAGATTTGCAGTTGATTGAGCTTTGGGAAACTTTCCTTTTGCAATTGGATGCTGGCGAAGACGGTGTCCCTTATTACGTCCCTGCTACGGAGGGCGTGGCTGGCGAGACTGCTACACTTGAGTCCTCCACACCAAATACCGAAGCCTCACTTGGAGCTGAGGATCACGTCTGATCAGCTTCGACCTTGACATTCCCACACCCATGCCCGTCCATGTATTATCCAGCAATCTTGTAGCCTCACGGGGATGTTGCATTCGGCATTCATTTCTCTGTTACCCTAGCCCAGGTCAATGATTTTCCCCAGCGCCAGCTATGGAGTTGCCCCTTCCCTTTTTTTTCCCTTCGATTTGTGTTCCAGAAGATCTATTCAAATACCACTGTTCGCCCGTTGTAGTTGCAAGTACAACCGGGATCCAATAATCATTGCGCAAGAAAAACAGTGGGCACCAGAGCTCCCTACTAGAAAAACCTTGACCGTTGTGGGTACAAACTCGGTCTGACTATATACTAGTATCCTTAGATCGTTGCAGTGGATAATCAGAAAAGAACCCTGATACTCCATGAACGGAGCTGCAGGTCGAAGATTAGACAAAGAATAAGCAACGTCTGCTCCGCCGCGGCTCCACCCGCTTTTTGCCGTTTCCCGCCAGTGGGCATGCTTACGCCCAATGCCATACCCATTGAAACCATGATTCAAATACCCCTGAGGGAGATATCAGTATCAATGAAGAAGTAGTAATCTGCACATTCACTTGGCAGCTTATTGATTATTCTCCAGGTGACCCCCTGTACTTGGATTCCAACACAGTACCTACAATATCGCAAATAGGCTAACGAACCTCCAGGTCATTCGGAAATAAGCCGGCTTTCAGAGCAGAGTATCCACTAACTACTATGAGCCTTGCGAAACGCTAACCTACACCAGGACTAGATCTCCACGATTTTGAGCCCTCAAATGGATCTCCTCCAAGCAAATTGAATCCTTGATTGGATCATGGTGGGAGTGAGATTTTGGATCAATTTGTGGATCAGGGGCATGCTGGCAAGTGTATAGAACCCACTGTCGTTCCTCTCTAGCCATTGCGAGCGCTTCAATCCCCTTAGCGTCTCCTGGGCAGCTTTGTTTAGTGGCTTAGAGCGTATTTTACGCCAGTGTCCCCATCCTCAGATTTGCCTTGTCATTTACTCTTTTCCAACTTGGCAGCTGGGCGGCTAAGGAAACGCTCGGAGCCCCGGGTCCTAAAAACTGTCGGTCTTTGAAGCTTGGTTCTGTTTACCTTTTGCCAGCATCCTAGTTATCTGCGAGTCCCGGGCACTCTTGAACCAGCAACCATACACCTGATTGGGATATTATTGCTGTTGATAGCACGACATGTCACCAGCTCCCGCAGCTACGGCACCTACAGCGGCCACTACAACCTTTGTCGCCTCAGACTACACCACCAGCGACAATTTTCAGGGATGGTACCTGCAAACAACTCGTCAGTAATGACCCTGTCCCTAATAGCCCAGGAGAGCGGCTCTGGCTGACCTACCATAGCCGAGCCCATCGTCTGCGGATCGACCGAGACCTTCTACACAAGTAGCACATATGGCGACTGCTACAATCCGTCAAGCTCGGCCCCCATGCCGACAGGATGTGATGGTGCAACGTTGCTTTACGAAGATGACCTCCAAGCAGGGTGGTATGTTTCATGTTGATTGTTTTATTCTCAGATCCGATTTCTGACCGACATAGCCCGACATCATATTCCTGCAGCGCCTACAAGATATTTCCAACAGAGGGTTCAGACGCAGAGGAGGCGATCTTAAAATATGGTTGTTTGATTAATTGGGGCGCCGATAGTATCTATCGGTCCCTTCCTGCTCGATTCGCTTCCTCTACCGCCGCGCCTGAAGTTACCGCCACTGCATCTATGTCTGCCACAACAGGTAGGTCCTCACTCCCTTTCGAATTTTCAACCCACATAGTCTGACTTATACAATCTCACAGCTACAAGTACCCATCACACCGCAACCAGCACCAGCACCGGCTCGACCGCCAACTCAACTTCAAACAGCAACAGCGGATCAAGCAACTCGGGCAGTGGGCTATCAAGCGGGGCAATTGCTGGAATAGTTATAGGATGTGTCGCACTTGTCGTGATCATTCTTCTATTGGTGTTTCGGAAGAAGGTCATGGCTTTTTTCAAAAAAGACTCGCCCGCCGAAGACAAGGGACCCGCCTGGTCTGCAGGAAGCATGCCGCCTCAGACGCAGCCCGCGTCTCAAGGAAGCTCTGCCTTGCTGGCTTCGGAGATGTCATCGGACTATAAGCCTGTTCATGAGATTGGATCCTCACCTCATACGCACTCCGCATCTCAAGAAGGCTCTACTTTGGACGCGTCGGAGATGCCATCGGAATATAAACCCGTTCACGAAATGGGCTCTTCTCAGCAGACATCAACTCGCCCGGCTGTGGTGCATGAGCTGGGCTAGACTAATACTGAAATGGAGGCTGGATTATACATATACACGGAAGGTTTCTAATATTTTAATACTTTGCTACCTCATCTTGGAATAGCTACGTGATGAATTTCCATGCACGGGCAAAATGAACACATGATAACGCTGGAAAGCCACTTTAGGACTCCCTGCGAAAGCACGACATTATAGTAGTTGTTTGCTTGTTTCGATTACCCATGCAATCAGTTGATTCAAGTACCTAGGTAGTAGAGACACACAGATCACGATTCCCCCTCAATGCAGCTAAAGAACATATCGGCTAATGCCTCATTAGTAACGGGTATATGGTAGTAATCAGAGGCGGACAAGATCAAAGCTTACAAGGTCAGGTTTTCTCTGTCAGTCAAATCCATCTGACTATTGTCCACGACGCGAGATACCTTTCCACCTTCAGAATCAACTGTTTCGACAATACCATTACTGGTAACTTGATCTTCAGCCTGAAGCCTATCGCGACGCTTGTTTTCCTGACTCAAGTAGAATCTGAGAATTCCGATTACAATAGACGGAAGGATGCAAGCCACCTGAAACTTATTCAATAAACTTCTTTTGTAGAGAAAGAGGAGGGAGAAATACCACAAGCAAGATAATCCAAGTTGGTTTATACCGAGGCTAGTTTCTTGGTTAGAATATGCTCATAGGGATCAATTCGAATGTCGCTAACCTTCCACTCTGGCCGGAAAAGTTGGGGAGAAATGATATTTCCCAGACCGTAGCCGATATGATACAATGCAATGACTGTTGTTTTCTTCGTATGTCCAGCTGATGCATTCGCCGCCCAAATCATCACAACGGCGTAAGGAATCCCAACAGTAGATCGAATCCAGATACCGCTAATTAGGCCCCAGCGGTTGGACCAAGGTAAAGCTATTGCGTTGTAGCATTAGAAAATATCCAATATGGATTCTCAAACACATACTTACCGAGAAGGAGAATACTGGAAAGAGCGCCTGGGATATAAGCAATCAAAGATATCCAGGCACGGGAGTTCTACTTGTTTTTAGCTGGATAGTTCAGTCTTCCAAATGGAACTAACTTGACTTACCTTTGTATAATATAGAGCAGTCGCAGCTGATATAAGGGAGAAAAATGATACTATGCCAGTAACACAGCCCAAGAGCGTTGTCTGAAGAATAGTGAAACCAAAAGAGTTGATAATGAGTGAATACTGGTTGGTTATTCCGTTGGCCATTTCTTGTGACCAGGCATGTAAGAAAAACAGCCAAGTTTTCGGGTCTTTCAACGCCTCGATGAATCTATTTGACCAATCAGTAAATTTGTGGTGATTCGAAGCTCGAAATATAGAATCCTGACTGGTATCTCTTGAAGAGCTTCTGTTCAATTCCAGAGTGGTTCTCTTTGATTCGTAGGATAGCCTTCGCGCGCTCTTCATAAGTGAGAAAGTCGGCGTGAAGAGGGCTGTCTGGGAAAAGAAAATAGACAGCGATGCCAAATATCACCGTCAAAACTCCAGTTATCACTGGTAGGTTGTTAGCGCCTGTGAATTAAATGGGAGGTAGGGTTCAAACCCATAAACCATTTCCATGGTGAAAAAGCCCCTGTCTTGATCCAAAGTACACCATATGAAAGGAGTCCAGAAGTTATTGGGCTTGAGTTTCCAATTGACCACATAATTGGCATCATGACTGCCTGCTCTCCGTATGTGAAGAACATTGACATTGAAAGCAAGAATGCTGGCACTATGCACGCCTCAGCTACTCCGAGGAAAAAGCGCACCACAAACAGAGAGGCAAAGCTGTTGCAAGGTATATGTAGCAATGTTATTCCGCCCCTGAAATACCGTTAATATCATCAGCCTCCAGTTCAAGGCCATTAAGGAGATGATTGCCTTACCATATGATTAAATTTGCCGACAACCATTTAGCCACCGGAAATCTTTGCAATGCCCAGTTCTGAGGCCATTCTGCCAGTAGATATCCAAAATAGAAGATCGAGGAGAGCCAGTTATATTGATTTGAATCCAAATGCGCATCTTGCATGATCCCAAGAATGGCTGAGCTGCCTAACTGCGCAGCATTAGCTGATAGCCCCTAATGCGGAAACTCGCACTTTACTTACTGTCTGTTTATCCACATACATGAGATGATATCCAATGCAAAGAAAAGGAAGAATCCGCCACAAGCATTTGTTTCGAATCTCACGAGCTTCTTGGGGTGTGGGCTCTTCTACTTGAATTTTGGAGAAAAGCTTGAAACTCTCGTCCGCAAACTGATCTGGGACTTTTGGCGCTGTGTTTAGTTCCGTTTGGCTTTCATCCTTCTCTTTTGCCTGTACCGTGGCTTTGACACCCTGATCAGATGAGCTGGAACTCATGGCGAAGACTTATGTTAATCCTTGGATAAGGCGAGAATTTCCTGCCACAAATAAATTCCGCGCTTTGCGATATAAGTTTATCTCCCGGGAGAAGTCAATATTTTAGATGGTGCTCTAGAAAAGACAGCTATTGCGTAATGTCCTTCCAAGCCTTCGCCTTCGCCTTCATCCCCATATCGGACAGATTCCGACAGATAAAGGCTTAGTCTATTGGAGAAAATCCTCCGCGAGGCCGTTCAAGCAGGGACGACGACAGGCCATTTGCCGAGATCTGGCAAGTTCCTTTAAAATACGTCACGAGATGCAACAATCACGCGTCAAGTCGCCATCGCGGCAATTGCGGAGAAGATGCATTGCTGACGTGCTCGGCATTATCTGTCGCGATGGCTATTTAATTTATCGAGCCTAGACATCTGAAACATATCTTCAATCCCAAGATATTATTTGGTTTCTTTGGGCGGAGGTGACTTCTTTTCTAAAATGGCCGAAAGGAAGGATACTCTACAGGTGATAATCGCCGGCGCTGGCATTGCGGGGTTGGCGACAGCGATCTCATTGTCACGAATCGCCTCAATTCCAAACATAGATATCCAACTTTACGAACAAGCACCTGAGCTGCTTGAAATTGGAGCCAGTATTGCACTCAGCCCAAATGTATGGTCCTTCTCTCTCTGAAAGTGTTTTATTCTAATGGATTTGGTTCTTGGTAGGGAATGCGCACCTTGGAAAAGCTGGGAGTGTACAAAGCTCTCACCGATGAGTTTGGCTACAGAGGACCAAGTGGTATACCACAAATCTTTCGGTATGATGATCGTGTATCATTTATATGGGTATTAATTAACTTATCATGATGATTATAGTCACTGGAAAACCGATCAGGTTATCTCGGTCGATACTCACACCGATGTTCCTAACCCTCGCCACCATACCACTCGATTCCATCGAGGCCATCTGCATGCAGCTCTTCTTGAGCATGTTCCCAGAGAATCTATACATCTAGGAAAGAAGCTAATCCATACGGAGGCTGATCAAAATGGCGTCCTCCTGCATTTCGAGGATGGGAGTAGTGCGCAAGGAGATGTTTTGATAGGAGCAGATGGAATTCGATCGGTAAATATCCTACATTGCTTCATTAAACGCAGACTTGAAAGCTGGACTAATATTGGCTCTAGGCCGTTAGGAAATCATTCCTGCCTGACTACAAGCTCCGATTTAGTGGTAAAGTATTCATGAGATCAACATTTGACGCATCTTTGGTGGAAGGGAAAATCCCCAATTTACCGTCTGATTCCATGCATTGGGTACGGGATGAGAGCCTGTCTTCTTCAATAATATTGTTGCTAACCATGAGAGTAGTGGGGACCGCGAGATAATTTCTTTGCATCTAGACTGGGTATGTCCCAACAAACCCGCATTTCCTATACAGTCTGCTAATGAGCCCAGGCAAGGATCAGTACACAACAGTCGGGGCTTACGATGATCCCCGTACAGCAGAAGAACTCGAGAGCAGCATTGCCTGGGATCAAAGTGGGAACATTGAGTTCCTAAGGGAAAGATACAAGGTAAACTAGTATCATGTCCCACTTTCCCTATAGCTGAAGGCTCACCAAACCAGAACTGGAATCCAACCATTCGAGCCCTGACTGAACTCACGCCCTACACCAATCTATATCCCAATTTCGCTGGAGATGCTCTCTCGACGTGGGTATTTGGTTCCCGGGTCACTCTTATCGGAGATGCTGCGCACGCTCACGGGGGTGCCTTTGCTGCCGGGGGCTCATTGGCACTGGATGATGCTCTTGCTCTTGGCCTTGCCTTTCGGCATGTATTCGGTCCTCAAACTTCCGGGCGATCTTTCTCGGCTGAGAGTATCAAGAAGGCGTTGGGGTTGTACAGCAACACGAGACAACCACACACAGCTCGGATACTGCGTATTGTTCACAATCAGATTGATAGGAGAGGCGCGCAATTTACCTCAGCCGAAGAGGAGGATGAGGCGTTGGTTGCCAGAATGAGAAGCAGGCCAAATACGGAATGGTTATCAGAACATGATGTTGAAGCTGCATTCGCAGCTACGCTTGAGCAGGCGGAAGCTTCTAGTGCAGAAGCTTCGGATCAAGTTAATGCCTCGGAGAGTACAGAGCCAGTTCCAGAACCGAGCTCTGGTACTACTAGTAATACTAGTATACAGTTCAAAGACAGCAAGCTATAGAACACACTGGTTTTCTGAGCTATAAAGAGGAAAGCTGACTAAAATACAGCCCCGTGCTTTCCTTGTAAGCCTGTCGTTTCCATCAGCGAGTACCTACTTAGGTAGGTCCTCGTAATTGTTGACATGTACCTACGTGTAGTAGCTTCCCTAAAAAGATGGCCGTGTATGCTCTTTCCCAATAGAACTTGGATTCGTGTCCTCAAAGTCCATTCTTTGCTCTCTCTCGATCTTCTGTCTTTGAACCTCCGACACCTCTACTCCCTCTTGTTTCTACTAGCTTTTTGCTAGATTGATGCAGCTGATGACGCTGGCGCCGGAGGACATGGTGTGAGTAGTTGGGGGCCCTTGTTGACAACATGGTATGTACAATCCCGCAGTTCCTAACTAATTACTAACTTGACATACTTGCATATAGGCGAGAACGACCAAGTGAGTTACCAGATCGGTGGCCAGAAAAACCCTCAGCCAATATCTCAACGATATTAAACCAGACTGCATGGGCTTACGTGGAAGAAAAAGGGGGATTGGAGTGATGCGCATGGTTATGGTTGTCTTGGCTTCTTGCTTTTTTGCAGACCATTGAGGGCCATGTATTATTAACATAGTATAGATTAGAATAGTTAATAGAAATACACGCCGTAGTTCGTAAGTCGTAGTCACACTGACGCAAGTCTCACCCTTCTACGCAGGGTCGGTGACTAGTAGCCTTCGGGCGAAGCTAAGATGAGACATAGTTATAGTTAGTAAATGTTTCGATAGCAAGCAAAAGTAGTCCTACATTACTACTAGTAGTAATACCGTATAGCCGTAGGATTTCTACTATATCTTTCAGTAGAGATACAGAGTCAGCTACTGTATCTTAGATATACTGGCAAGGTACTACTAGTACTACAGTAGTAGTCGAAGCAAGAAATTCGATAAAAATGAATTACTAACTTGAAAGATGACATTCATGCATTGTCGCAGACATGTGTATATTATACAAGAACAATTGAGACAGAAAAAGCGAAATCCCAACTCCCAGCCCAAAGAAATTGGAGGGCCAAAACCAATCTAATCACACAAGATGCAAATCTTTACAATTCCCCTTCCCACCTAGTTCTTCTTCTTTCCAGAGCCCTGGTTCTCCTCCTGACCAAAGGAGCTAATCAAGTCGAGCAAATTATCCTCTTCTTCTTGCTCGGCCTGAGCCTGAGCCTTAGCAGCCTCCTCCTTAGCCTTGGCGGCTGCAGGGTCCTTTGGCTCAGCATCGGCCGGAGCGTCCGCGGGAGGAGCGCTCGCATCCCAGCTGCGACCGAAACGCGCGCGGAAAGCTGCGAGACGACCAGCCTCATCGTCTTCGACATTCATCAGCTTGCTGCTGGACGGGTTCCAGAGCAGGGAATTGCGCGTGTCGCGAGTGGAACGGTAGACGGGGGCGGGCGAGGTGGTACGGTGCGTGAAGGCGCTGCCGTCGGTGAGGGTGATGAGCTGAGTAAAGGTGTATGGGCGCTTGGGGCGGCGCAGAAGTGTAGCGTGACGGCATTGAGAGCAGACAAAGGTTGTGGCTTTAGATTGGGAGGTCGGGAGTTGGCTGGGCAGGATGGTGGATGTTGTGCTCGATACCGTGGCCGCGGTGCGGCGGAGGGAGGTGTGCAGGGACATTGTGGGTGGCGTAGTGTCGGTTCACACGATTGAATGAGAGTAGTCACGAGAGGAACAGCCCTGGATAAGTATGCTGTTGGGCTGGGACACAATTCAGGAGGCGAGGGCGGAGTTGCGGCGGGTTGAGGTTATACAACTTCCGAAGCAGAGAAATTATCGGCGATACACATTACGTAATCACCACGGGGATTTTTGCGGGCAACACCTCTGCTCGCGCATTGCCTCCGACAACTCGCAGTCGACCTCTTCGGCATGAATACGCAGTAACTGAATAGACTATCTGATTTCTCGTTCATTTTGTGTTACCCTCCCACCGCTAGGAGAGAGCTACGGTTAGCCCGCCAATCACAATGAAGCTATCATTCGCACCAGTTGCGACGCGGAGAGGACTCGGAGGTGAGTTCATAAGCTCCCACGCGCAAATATATGCTCTGAATGATGCTGACTGTACGGAATAGGAGCATTTAATTCTACATTATTGACTTCTCGCTCGTCACGATCCTCTTTTGCCGTTCAGATCGAACATTCGTCATACCGTCAACATGCACCCCGGCGACAATTTAGCAACGCTACAGCTTTGCAATGCCAGGCCTCCCAATCCCTCAACGAAAGCTCTTCAAGCAATCAATCCAATATATCCTCATCTCAATCCGAATCCTTCTCCTCTACATCCGCCTCCTCAATATCGGAACAAGTTCGCCTCCTCATGCGCCAAGTACCATACCCCGTCGCAATTATAACCGCAACCGATCCCACTGGACCGTCAGACACAACCTCGTTTCGCGGAATGACAGTTTCCTCCTTCAGCACCGTCACACTTACTCCACACCCCGTTATATCCTTTAATGTCCGACGACCATCCGAAACTTTGAACGCCCTCCTATCTTCCGGCCGCTTCCTTGTACACCTCCTCGCGCCTGGCCCGGCCACTGCAACGCTTGCGAGGGACTTTTCAAAGGGAAATACCACATTGGCAAGCATGCTGAACGGACACGGAGACTTCGAGTTTGGAGCTTTGAGCGCGAATCTGGGCCAGGGACCGAGTCAGGAACGGCCGCTTCCGCTACTTAGACGGCGGGCTCAAAGCCCAGAACAAGGGGATGTGGATTTCCCCATCGTCTTTGAGTGTACTCTTCACCCGAGCAAGATCGATGTACACGATCACTCGATCGTATTGGGAACCGTTGTCCGCGCGATTGAGGGCTCTGGCTCTCAAGGGAGCAGTGGTGAACACCCGGCGGACGACTTGTGTTTGACGTATGCGAATACGCGGTTCTGGAAGATGGGGAATGAGATTTGATCAAATAAGTAAAGATGCTAGATGGAGATTTGGTGGGGCTGTACATATTATTTACTTCGGACGGGCTCAGGCTAGACTTATCACTGTACATATTACCTAGGTATACTGTGGATCAACTATAAAAACAGAGAAGATATAGAAATGGATCGCATTATTTGTTACTTATCCATCAACTTGAACCTTGGAAGAGCCTCCCCATTAGTACTAGTGGTAACTATCTCTACCTAGGTAGGTAGGTAGGTAGTAATCGTCCAACTACAAATATACCAGGCCGTTGTTGAATATACCAGTAGAAATCTACAGGTAGAGTTTTTGAACGGAGAATAAGCTTTTTAGTCTCTAGGAACAGAACTGAGATTCATCTCACTGCAAACCTTGGAATTTGATCTAACCAAGTCATACATCTCACCGCGAGATACTAATTGAGCGTCCAACAGTCAGATGGCATGACCATCACGATACAACCCGGCGAGGACAAATATGTGAACGAAGAATGGGTAAATCACGAAAGGCGAACGATGATCCAACCAGATGGATTGTGGAAAGCACAGGTGCAAAGTTCAGACAAGCCGTTGATGTAGAATACGAACAAAACCGAGAAATCAACCAATCAGTTGAGGGTAAGACAAGAAAATTGTCAGTGCCCAACGACTGTTCGATACATGTCAAATATCTCAATCTCGGGCCGACCCTGGGCTGCCACTTCCACTTCTGGTACCGCCGCTACCGCTGTCAGCTCCACTGCCTCGACTCACAGCTCGTTGAAAAGGGCTTAGAGAAGGGCGACCGCCCTGCAGAAAGCCATTTTCATTCGAGCCGGACCGTTGCTTTTCGGAAAGCATTTCGGCCAGCTCGAGCTGGAGAGGAGGCATCCGTTGAGCATCGAAATACTCTGAGCCATACTGGCTGCTACGGGTTGAGCGATTGGAAAACGAACGATCTCGGTGGGTGTCGGAAGCGAAGTAGGAGGCACCGTTGCCAGGCGACGAGGTTGGGAAGTGGGGCATGAAGGCATCGTACGTCGGGCTGGTTGGATTTGACGAGTTGGCGTGAACGGGAGACGAGCTATGCAGAGGGCTGGACTTGGCTGGAGGGAAGCTGAGGGCTAGTAACGCCCGACCATTCGGAGCAGAAGTAGTCGACAAGTTTAGAGACGGATTGTGGATTTCGGGCAAAGGATTCGTGCCTGGCAGATTGCCCTCCGGAGTGAGGGGACCAGAGTCCAGGAGCATCTGCTGCTGTTGCTGCTGAATCGTTTGTTCGATGGCGGAGGCTTGCTGCCAGAGCTGACTGGTACGTAGCTGAAAGTCCTGAACAGATTGACAGATGCTGTTAAACTGTTCTTGGAAATTGAGCTCCAGCTTGGCGTGATCTTGTTCGCGAGCAAATTGTTCGGCCGCACGACGTTCTCTTTCGTTTAGCCCCTGCGCGTTGGCAGAGATGATGCGTTCGTACTGTTCGTTGACTCGGGTACGGCGGCCCTGCAGACGCTCGCGTTTCTGAATGACCAGGTTGAGCTCTTGATCTACAGACGACACCTGTTGAGCGGCAGCAAGACGAGCCTCGGTGAGTTCTTCCTTCGTTGCATTGAATCGTTCCAGTTGTCGCTCAAATTCGGTCTTGTGTGTAGACCACTCTTCGAGTTCTTCTGTGGGCACAGTTTCCATGTTATCCAACTGCACCTCCAAAGCCGAAGTTGCCTCCTCCGTTTGTCGAATGTTCCGCTCGAGTTGGAGCAAACGCTGCTTTTGGCGATTTTCGTCCGTTCCACTCTGAAGACGGTGGTTGAAATTGTCCAGTTCCTTGCGAATTTTAGAGATGAGAAGCTTGTGGTCGTTCTTGGTTTTCTTGAGTCGAGAGCGCTTTTCGTTTAATTTGGCTTCGGCGTTGATGATGGAGTTTTTGAGCGTCGTCGTCGGGGATGAGGGTCGATAAGGCGGCTGTGGTGGGGCGGGAACTACAGAAACAGCTACTATATTTGTTAGACTTTGGTCAGGTATAGGATAATTATGCCGCGTAAACTCACTTTGCTCTGTATCGTCCGCCGCCGGGGTTTTGACGCTCATGGCACAGATTTCCTCATCAGTATCGCTGCGGACAAAAGAGCAAGTATATGCACAATTGGGAGCAAGTCCGGAGATCTCGCCTCGCCATTGAACCATACTTGGGCCGTTGGAGGATTCCGAGACCTTGCAAATCGTAGCAGTTGCCCAAAGCGCCCCATTGACGCACACATAAAACGGTTCCATATCGCCATCCAATTGCCCATTTCCACAAGAGCTTAGCACTGCGGTATCATCGACGAGATCGCCAGCAGCGAACTTTATCGTAGCACTATCCACGTCTGTGATCCATACTAATCCATCATCGAGAGAGACGCCTTGGAGATCGTCCTCAGTCATTGTGAGACCGCGGGTTGTTTTCGAGGATGCTCGCGAATGCTCATATTCCCGCATGACGGTGACCTTGGTGCTGGCGAGGGCGGCCCAGAATGGTTGACGACTTCGAACTTGATTAGCCTGTCTCCTGCGTTTCTTAGCTG